AATGTGTATAAACTAAGGATTGCCTCTCATCATCCTGACACACCTCGTTCAATACATCGGAGCAGTTCGACACCATTTGTCGAATTGTCAAGATTTTCACGGGGAATTGGTGAATTAAACAGGTAAAATTACCATGCAAAAATTCTTTTTTTAAAAGACATGCGATGCACTTGGAGGAAGGTTGAGCATTCATTTGCTTTAACATATTTCCTCTTTCTTTGTTTCTTTCTACTCTCATGAAAAGAGTTCTAGGGAAAGAAATACCTACCTGTGTTGTAACAGTGAGGCAAACCTGCAAGGTAATAAGGAAGACCGTGTTAATGAGCGGCACTTTGAGGGACATGAATTGGGAACGATACAACATTACCCTTCGTGACTCCCTTCATTTGAGATTAAACTGACAACTCCTTGAGTTTTCTCGGATGTTGATAAGTCCCGTCTGACAAAAACAGGAGCTTATGTTAGAAATGAGAAGATTGAGGGTAAATTGAGAACGATACAAATTACCCTTCTTCCATTTTGCCTTCAAAGCTAGCAGTGTCTTTTCTCCTTTTTACTTTGTTCAGCCTTCTCTGTCTCAGTCTACTCCTCCATACCCTTGATCTCGAAGCTCGAATGAAATCTTCTATAATTAGGGTTGCTCCCAAATAGAGGGTTCTATTGTCAGCGCACGCCGTGTCAATGCGGTTCCAACATGTAGAGGAGTTTCTCGTAAATGCTCCGATTCCTGACTGCACAGGGCATGTGCAATTGCTTGCATGGGGATCTTCGCAGCAAAGCTAATCTCTGCTTTAAAGGTCTTTCACGAACATGGGCGTGACTGCCATCGAGACTTCTATGGTTGTCAGGATTAGGATTGGCTCTATCTTGTCATATGCAAAGTCCTTTCCAACTGCTTGTACAGGACCTTTACTCAAATTTGTCCTATATAAAAGGAAAGAATGTGTTATTTTTATGCTAAAGTGGGTGAACTTTAGGAACGAAATACACCCTTTTTGATTAACTGGGAGATTGCATGCCCCCTAGTCTACTCTTCCAATTAAGCATTTCTTCGCATGTTTCATTCGAGAGATCCCAACATTAGTGATCTATCCGGCTCGCTAGCACGTCAGAGTCTAGCATGTTCCCCATTTCATTATCTGCAAAAGAAAAGGAGTGGAATGTCATTTCCAAAATTTGTTAGGGAATAGGATATACCTTTTTCTTTCAAAAGGGGTAATCTTTTATTGATCTGCCCCCGACTTTTGTACGAAATGATGTTTCGCTCATCATGGAGTCAAGGAATGCTCAGTATTCTTTTTGACTTTCTGGGGCTGATATCACCCACTAGTAGTAATGAGATTTGCCCTATGTTTCATTTGAAGATTGGATGATCTTCGCTCGGACTGCCCCTATCAGATGAGTTGGTCTGTGATCATTACCTGGGGCTGATGTGCTCTTCAGTTTGTGTCATTTCCAAATGTCCCATTTGTAATAACAAATCAAAAAGGAGTATGCTTTTAGACACGAAGTGAACGAGTTATAAAAACAAACAGGGCTATGAGCATGCATGCTTTTCCACCACCATTCTTTTTTGGTCCTTTTGAAAAATGATAAAACGTTTGTTTTATTTTCAAAAGCTTAGAAACAAGGAAGCATGAGGAAGCCCGGGCCTCAGAACACTTTCCTTTACATGGCTGGATATCATCAACGGGCCGGTTTGGTATACTACCTCATGCCCTCAAAACATTATTTATTTACAATACATGGATTTACAATCTCAAAAGAGGGAGAGTTCAAAAAGACATTTCTTCTAACAGAAATGACGATAAAAAGCAAAATACAAGGATAGCCCCTTTTCCAGGGATTCATGCAAAAGGATGAGAGGAGTTCTACTCAAGCGGGCTTGCGCCCATTCCCTTCATTGGTCTCGAATGAGAAAGTCTTGGTGTCCAGCAGGTTTTGAATTCGGTGCTTAAGAGTATAGCACCCATTAGTTGAATGCCCCACCTCGCCCATGTGATAATCATACTTTTCAGACGGATTGTAGTTTGAAAAGCTCTTAGGATTAGGTCGCTTTGGTTCAGTGGAGAGCAGCCCCTTCTTCCGGAGTATTGCCAGCATCTGAGACGAAGGTCCTGGGAGGGGAGTGAACTGTCTCCGGTTGTTTCACTTTTGTGATGGAGGGATACTGGATTTGTATTGTTCATGTTGCATGAACTTTGGGTATAGGGTGCTCAATTCATTAGGATCAGGGGACTCGTGGACATTGTCAACTATGACATCTTACCCTTTTGGTTGACACTGGAGGGCTCCATTTGAATCATCACCCCTGGTCTTGGATAACAAAACGGAGTCATGGTGAGTTGGTCTAAGCGGACTGACAAATGTTCCACTTGTTTCGAGAGTTGTTGAAGAAAGGCGAAGACTTGCTTCATTTCGGTCTCCATGTCCGCCACACAAGTTGTCATATCTTTTTCAGCCATTTTTACTTGGCGGGTTGGTATAATTCGTAATTACCTGTTAAAAAAGAATGGCAATGAATGAGTATAAAATCTCATAAATGATCAGTCCATGACTTAGTCTAGTATTGCATCATTTTCTTTTTTTGCAAAAAATATCAGAAGCAAAAAAAGGTTTTTATTTATATATTCATTACAAACGGTGTCCTTAGGGTTCGAACCCCGGTCGCCTCGGACCACCTTCACTCCCGGGTACCACCAGGCCGAAGCGCCGGTAGTGTTACCGGGGTGCGTTTTTTTTATTTATACACAATTTTCTCCTTTTTTGAAAACGACAAGAAATTGTATGGGAAAATAATGATTTGTAATGTGTTTATAAAAATAAAGGTACGAATTAGAAGTAAGTATTCTGAAAAAGTTTTAGTGACTATTTCTTCCAAAACGATTACGGTATTAAATCCACAACTGACCTAGACTAATCATGGACCGACCGGAACACACAAAGATAAATAAATTGCAAAGTGTAGAAATAGAAAACTTACTTTACCGGGAACCATGGCAATCACAGAAGCATGCACATGAGGAGTGAGGTTCGATTTCTATTTAGACTGGTTCAGCAAAATGAAATTAAAAGGGTGCCTGACCGTCGCAGTCTCGCGTTGGTGTCAAGTCCTTTTAACATCGGCCAAATCGAAAGGAATATCTTATAGTCACGTGAATAGCAGCTAAAGATATTTCTTTACGATTTTTTTAGAAATAAATTTCGGGGAAAAGAAAGGCAACCTCTACATCCCAGGCTCGCGTTCGAGGTCGTATCTTTCTTAACACCATCCTAAAATGCCCTATTGCGGCCCAAGTCCGGCAGCGTGGTTGTGTGTGCAACAATGTAGTGCTAAATCATTAAAGCATACACAACAATTTATAAACAATCAATTTGAACTTGTAAGAACAAATAACACCTTAATGTCAGGATCATACCTGGAGTCCTTGCTGCCAAACAAAAATTATTTTGAACAGGATAAAAAAAATTTTGGCTTAAGTCCACTTTAAAAAATGCAAGTCCCCAGTGGAGTCGCCAGTCTGTCGCGACTGACCTCCCCAGCTCTTTTTTGAATACATGCTAAAAGAGGGGGTTTCGCCTGGTAAGTGCTAAGTCTAGGTTCAAGATTTAACTCGGGCTCTCCCAAGCCCATACCATATCGCGACTTAGGGTTTAATTATTTAACATGCAAGTGGTTTATACCAAGGAGTCGCCACTAATCGATTTGGGGTAGATCGATTAGAAACCCAAATAAAGTGATGGGAAAATCACCCTATTCCTGCGAACCAAAGATTAATTGAGTTTAGGGACTTGGTTACATTAGTCGGATAACTAATGCCCTTTCGGTACCATTTTACCCTGTTCATTTATGAAAATATTTGTCAGGCAATTTGGATTGATTTTAGGACCTTTCTCCTAACATGTGAGGTGATCAAGCGAGTGCATAATCAGAAACGATTAGCAGTTAAAACACAACAATTCATGCAACCTAAGGTTTTAACCTTAACTAAGTCAGATGACATTCAAAACATAACAGTTCATGCAATTGTATTAAAAACATGCATAATAATACAACGGTAATAAAAAAAAAACATGCAAAATACTACCGCGCAACCTCAAGTTTGTCTAATTTAAACAAAACAATAACATGCATAATAATACAATAAATTAAAACAACAAATATATAACATAATTTTAAAAAAAGGATCTTTTCTTTTTTTTTAAAAATAATTTTGAAATTTTTTTTTCTTGAAAAAAAAAGAAAAAAGAAAAAAATTAATACAGAAGAAGAAAAAAAATAAAAAAAAATTTAAATTTTTTTTACATTTTTAAATTTTATTTAAAAAATAAAAAAAATATATATATATATATTAATATAATCTTAAAACCCGGGTCGAGTCGGCGGATTCGAGTCGGTCGAATCTGACCCGAGTCAACGGATCCGACCCAGGGCGTTGACCCGGGTCGGATCGGTTGATCCGGGTCGGTCGGAACCGACCCGATCGTTGACCCGGGTCAGGTCAGTTGATCCGGATCAGTAGGACCGACCCGGATCAACAGATCCAACCCGGTCGTTGACCCGGGTCGGGTCAGCTGAACTAGGTCAAGCCGAACCCGCGTGCGCAGGCGTCGACGAAACCGAAAATCGGCCTCTCGCCGGCCAACCCAGACCGGCACCGACCAAAATCCGGCCCCTGGGATCACCACCAAACCTCACCGCCCACCTGGGTTGCCGTCCGGCCACCGTTCGCTGCCAGCGACCGAATTAAAAAACGGCCCCCATTGAGGCATTTTGTCGAACACCGGGCGTGCGCGACCAAAAATAGGAGATTCTGACCTGTTTCGAGGCCCCGCCGTCCTCGGGAAACCTGTTCTTACCTCTGCCGACGACACACGGACGGCGGGTGTCACACCCCGCACTCCTCGGCGCGCCACATCCCTCGCAAAGGTCGATTCGTGTGCGACGTCCCAGGACGCGTCGCCGACCCAACACCCAACACAGAGATTTAAAGCACATGCGGAAGTAATTAAAACCACCCGTACATTAAAATACACCTAACCAAGGATAGCCATACAACAACCAGCACGGATAATTATACACTTGTTTTGACATCGGGAAACATATACAATATTCATATACAGCCCACACTCAAAAATCAAAAGCGGGTACGTGGCTCGGCGATCAAACACTATATCTAGCCGGGGCTCCTCCCAAAACGTTTCAATACGCCTGCCATCCTCAAGGCTGGGGGTCTGAAAAATTGGGTTTCAACAACAGTGAGAATAAATCTCAGCGAGTAATTCCCTAAACCTAAATTAGGCTAAAGTGCACCTCCTGACAAGCATGAATCAATCACACAAATCAAACATAATTGACCCAGGCCCTCGGGCCCAAATCCAACACTTACCTTGACCCTGCAGGTTAGGCATTCTATAAATATAATCACAACAGTATCATAGAATTAGATTGTGGCACATCTACACATATCACTCTGTCTCGGCTCATGTAATACATATGCTCGTGCTCGCACTCATGTTCATGTCTCAACAATGCATTAACGCACACTTGCATGCTAGCACTCTGCCATTTATCAATTTCTCCTCCGACCCGCGTTAAACGCATCAGGTCCGACCCGCGTAAAACGCATCAGGTCTATCACTTCAAGATCGATCTCTGGCCCACGTAAGACGCATCAGGCTCATGACACATTACCCGCGTAAAACGCCTCAAGTTGGTCATCTTCCGGTAAACCGGGCATCGTCCCGCGTAACACGCCTCAGGACGGGTTCATTACCCCGCGTAAAACGCATCAGGGTTTATTGTGATCACACATTCACAAGCACCAATTTTCATCTGAACCCCGCGTTAAACGCATCAGGGCATTTTAGGTGATCACAATGCACATGCCACTCGAGCACACTTGTAAATGCACATGCCGTGCCAATGCTCGTGATGCAAACTCATGGCCATAAACTTCACACTCGGGCATTCACGATTTCACAATGGACATTCAATAGCACAACGCCAATTAATTAATTTACAGTGCACCATGTCCAATCAACATTTCAATATGCCCAACCCACATATTAGCACGACCATGAAATTCAATTCAAGCACTCATGCACGGTACACAATTCACGCGTATAAATCACACAATCAGTTCAGCATGAATCCACAGAAATTGAGGCCCATCACATTACTCCCTTCCTGATAGCATTAGGCACATGTCATGGCACTACAAAATCGCTCGCATTTAGGGACAATTCAACCACTAGTTCGGTCAATCCATCATTTCCGACACTTACACTCCAAACCTCAATTCAATCGCGCCTTGTCCGACTAATTTCCAAAGTGGACAGCTGCTAAATCAATTGCACCGGGCCATTTAATGACCTCAAAATATTCCACTAGACTCCCCAAGACACCATTTTAATCAGCCACCATAATGCCAAATAAGGTGCGCACTAGAATCCACATTTTAAACCCGAAACTTCCCAAACTTGGGCTAATCCGATCCAAATCTGTCCAGCCAATACTCGGCGCTTCTCAGGCTACTAAACCTCCATTTATTTATCACACTAAGCCCGTAGAACAGCCACCAAAACAGCCACCACCCGGTCTATCAATTTCATCCACTAAGTTCGCCATTTTGTCTAAATCTCGGCACCCATGCTTCGCCACATCACAGCACTATACGGGCCGCTAAACCTCGACTAAATAATCATCCTTGGTCACCAAAAACACCACGGAACCAGCCCATATCACCCTCCACCATTTAGCCCCTAATTACCCTAATTAACCCCTAAAACCCGTCTAGAAATGTAAATTGTCCTAATTAGGGCTTAGGGTCAAACTCACCGGATGTCCTAAGCTTGAAACGGGCCGAACACGCGACGAAAAGGGGCTGGGCAGCGGCAGTCCCTCGCCGGAACAGTAACGGCGGTGGCGGCTCCGGCGAACGGCGCGAGCGGCGGCAACGGTCTAAGCTAATCCACGACCTAGAGAGGGAGAGAGAGGCACAGTCAGAGAGAGAGAGAGAAATGGAACGGCTGGTCGGCTGAGCGAGGCAACGGATCCGCGCCGGAACAGTGACGGCGGCAGCGGAGCTCCTCCGGCTCAAGGCCTCTCACGGCCAAACCGAGAAAGAGAGAGAGAAAGAGAGAGAGAGAGAGGAGAGGGGGCTTGCCGGCTGCTTGGGGTGGAACACGGTGGCGACGGCGACGCGGGGCCGGCCGGCATGAAGGGCAGCAGCGGTGAGCTCGCTGCTGCGCGCGCGTAAGGGAGGAGAAGGCGACGTTGGGGCGGCGGCTGGCGGATGGCGCGGCGCAGCGGTCGAGCTGGCCGGCGACGGCGCAGCACGCGGCGGTCCGGCGAGCCCAGGCGGTCCGCGAGCTAGGCAAAGGTGAAGCAGACCCAGTCGGCCGGGAGGAGGAGAGAGAGTGGGGGCTTCTGTGGTGGGGGCAACAGGGTGGCGGCAACGGTCGGGCGGCGCGCGATGGCGACGAGCGGCAGTTGGCGACGAGCGGGACGGCGTCGGGCGGAGCGGAGTTCAGACGCGGCTCGTCGGGGAGGAAGAAGACCGAAGCAGAAAAAAGAAAGGAAGAAGAAAGAGAAGAAGAAGGAAGAAGAAGAGAGAGAGGAGAGAGGGTGTCAGAGGAGGGGGGAGAATGGGCTTGAGTGGACTTCTGCGTGGGGGGGTTGCGTGCGGTCAGAGAGGAGAGAAGAGAGAGAGGGAGAGAAGGAGGAAAGGACAGACGTGATGATGGGGGAGAGAGGGGTGCGTGCGGGCAGAGGAGAGAGAGAAGAGAGAAAGAAAGAAAAAAGAAAAAGAGAGAGAATAGGACGGACGCGCGGCCAAGGGGGGTGTCTTCGGCGCGAGAGAGAACAAAAGAAAAAAAATAATTTTCATTCAAATATTAATCGCGATCCGAAGGCCCAATCTCAAAATCGAAAACGATCTGCTGGTCTAAAATAAGCCTCGAATATAAAAAGGGACAAAGGCCAAATTAATTAAATCAAACTATAGCGAGGGAGGTCTACTAGTCCGAATTTGCACCCGGTCAAAAACTTTCCTTTTTCCATTATTCCTAACAATCTCAACGTTGGCCCCGACCATATCGACTCCGTCCAATTTATTTCGTCCCGAAAATCGACAGCCAAGTTCGGGGTCTAAATAACGGTCAAATTTGATCGAGTGCGATTCTAGCGAAATCTCTAATTTAAAATGATAACCGGGAGTGATCAGTTCCTGGGCGAGATTTTACTATAAGCACACTGACAAATTACGCGTTTTATAAATCCCAAAAATGGGCCGAAATTCGGGATGTCACAGCGGGGGACGGCGGTATGGGCTGGGACTCGCACGAAAGGGCCGACGCGAGTCCCGGCCAAACTGAGCACAAAAACAGGGGAAAACAGAGGCGGTCGGGACCCAGGGGAAGCTCACCGGTCGACGGCGCTGCTGGAGGCTTTCCGGCTGATCTGCGGTCGACGGCGTGGCTGTGGGAACCTGTAGAAGCCCGAATCTCCTCTCTTTCTCTCTCTTTTCTCTCGGTCTCTCTCTCTATTTCTCTCGGTCTCTCTCTCTCTCTGTTTTTTTTTCTCTGAAAATGGCCCACCAGGGGGTGCTTTCGGAGGCTGCCGGTCGGCTTGCTGGAGACGACGAGACCGGCTGGGACCTGCAAGACACTCCCAGGTTCCTCTCTCTTCTCTGTTTCCCTCTAATTCTCTCTGGGTCTCTCTCACGGCTTCTCTGTTCTCTCTCTGCTCAAACCGACTGAGAAAGACCGCCCCCTCTCTCTCTCTCTCTGTGGCCTGTATAGGCCGACGACCGGCATGCTCTCTTGCTCCATTACGTCTGGTGACGATGGCCTGCACCGGCCTATCCTGGCCTGCGACTTTCGCGGCCATTTAGGCTGGTGCAGATGGGGGGCCATCTGTGAGGAACGGCAGAGAGGAAGAAGGGGGAGAGGAGAGCCCGGGAAATCGGGGGGTACGGGACTGGCCATTAATGCCAGTCCCGTCGGTGTGCTTCATCGGCCATCGTCTAGCCTGATGGGGACAGCGCGGAGGCGCTCAGCCGGTCACGCTCTGCGGCTGGCTGCAGGGGTGAACAGGGGAGAGAGAGCGACCGTGGACGGGGGGAAGAGAAGGAGAAAGGGAGCTGGGCCGGGCCAGGCCCAGCTCGCGCGGGGAAAAGAAGAAAAAAAGAAAAGTGGGCTGGGCCCGCGCGGGGGGAGAGGAAAAAAGAAAAAAAGAAATGGGCCTGGTCGGCCCGGCCCCGACCCGGCCCAACTCGGATTTTTTTTTTTAAAGTTCTAATAGACCTTATTAATACAAAATGTGCCTAATTTCTATATGCAATGCATTTAAATTGGAATATTTTTTTGTTTTAGGAATTAAAGAAAATTAACTCCTAAATTTTGTGTAATTAATTTTGGGCAAATTAAAATAGGTGTCAACAGTCTTAGAGGTTCCAAGACATTCAAATCCATTTACTTTTGACTCGAAGTCATAATTAACGATATAATTGGCTATCGATCATCCTCGATTAGGCTTTAATCATTAATTGTAACCATTGAGTTTGTGGCAACCAGAACCTTGCAAAAATTCACGTAAGACGTCTTTTGGCGACCACAAAAGGAGAATACAATGTCTCCCCGAATTACTAGAAGTATGTCTGATCTCCAGGATTCTGAACCCAACGACTCCAACAAATACCGCCATCTCGCGGGCATGAAAAAATCTTTAAGTGGAGAAGTACTTTTATAGGGTTCTCAAGCTGTGGGTGATGTACCATTCATCGCCATTGTCTCTGTGTATATATTTAAAGCAATTCCTGAAGGACGAATTCATTTCGAAATTTTATGACCTTACAAATTTTATGGAAGTTTCTTTATTTACAAGAGTGCATATTTGGAAAATTTACTAAAAAAAAGGCACAAACGTAGTTTCAGATTTTTTTTCTTTCTTTCTTTTACCATCCCCTTCTTTGCAAACAACATATTTCAATGAATTTTTATTCAATACACTTGTGGTGTAAAATTTCTGAACATAAGCAGGTTTATAAAATGACACATATACAATTTTTATTCTTAGCATATAGGTTTATTCCATTCATAGGTTAATGCTTTCATTTTGAGACTGTCGGTATAAAAAACACTTTTATACAAATGACAAGTGTAAAATTTTCTTCACACAAGAAAGTTTTAGATAATGACTCATAATCAATTTATATTTTTGCCCATAACTTTATTAAATAAACAGGTTTATATCTCCAATCTGAAACCGTTTTCGTAAAAAAAATCATAATAATGATATATATTATTCATCGCCGTTAGTTTTGTGATTTCTGAACAACATGGGAAAATCACTATTTTCATCTCTTTTTTCTTTGCTTTTATTTTCATTGCCAACTCAAAAGATGTTCCAAACATAATTTAAGTCTTTATTGCGCTAATGTGTCCTTCTCGTAAAAGAGACACATTGAGATATTTAACTTTACCTCATAAATTGAGAACATCATTATCCTTAATTAATATATTTTTATACATTTAGCTTAATGTGGATATTCTCAAAAGCTTAATATTTGAATTTATAATTAACTGAATATGGAAATTATGTCATCTTTAAAAAAACAAAAGGAAAATGGGGAGCATAAAAATATAGATGGAAAGTTAATCAATGAGATTAGCTCATATTTAAAAAAAAATTAAAACAAAGAGGGAACGTTCTTCATGTGCATCGTGGGACAGAGCACGTCTGAAAGTGTGAAATCATGGATGAAATTATTGAGGACTCTTCTCGAATTGTACACGTGTCACGCCAAAGGAAAGAGAGAAAAGAGATTTAAAAAATCATTAGAGAGCATATATATTAATTGACTCTTAATCAACACTTACCGTTGACTGACGACGTTACAAACTTTTAGATGACCCAATAAATGCAAAAGAGAACAATAATACAAGCCAAATGGCCGACAAAAGATGCCAGTGAAGTCAAAAAAGCTACCAAAGTTCCGCTTCGCGAGGACGTGACATTCTTGTCTCTTCTCATAAGTTTGTATGACGTCATTGCGCACATCCTCGGAGGAAAGTTAGGTCACATCCCTTGTGCTATCATGACACTTGCTAGGGAAAATACCAATAAAAATTATAATATTTTTTGAAATAAAAACTTGAAGTGAATATTATTTTAAAAAATAACTTGAAATGGCTGGCTAGCCAGATAGTCAGTGAAAGGCATTTTTATCTAAAAATAATGTTAACCTAAATTTTAGTTATATTAAATTAAAAATTAAGAAATTTATTTTTTAAAAAGAAAAAAAATAATAAATATAGGCGAGACGGCTGCTTGGGTTTTTTTTGTGTTTTCCTTTTTTTTTAAATTTTTACCTTTTTTTTCCTTTTTTGAGTTTGTCTTTTTTATGGAAATTGTTTTGGATTTTTAACCTAATTTAATTAAGATTTTGTGTAAAAATTAGGATTTGTATCAAAACGACCTTGTTTTAGTGCAAAGCCACGAAAGACACCATGTGAAAGAGATAAAATAATAAAAAAACATGGTATAATTTGTTAATCAAATTGGACGGAATTAGCGAAATTACTCAATTTTTACACAAGCTGCTGGCGAGGGTCATTGTCGTGACCAACCTCCATTTTTTAGAAAAAGGGAAGGCTCGCCTGGTACGCGCTAAGTCTGGGTCTGGAACTTAACTCGGGCTCTCTCAAACCTATACTATATCGCGACTTAGGGTTTAAGTTTTTAACTTACAAGTGATTTTTATTTAGGAGTCGCCACTATCAATTTGGGGTGGGTTGATTAGAAATCCAAGTAAGGTGACGAGAGAATCACCCTATTTCTACGAACTAGAAATTAAATGAGTTCGGGGACTTTGTTACACTAGTTGAATAACTAGTGCCCTTTTGATACCTTTTTATCTTGTTCATTTGAGAAAATATTTGTCAAACAATTTGAATTGATTTTAGAACCTT